CAAGGACAAGAATAGGGATGGTCCTGCAGTGGACCAGCAGCGGCATACAGTCAACGGGGTCCTGATCTTATCAAGCCAGTGGGCCTATATATGCTTGCTAACTGCTGAGAGAAGACCATTAGAACTATTCGGATTAAAACTTAATGTTTTTTCTTCCTAATGGGAATTGGCTTAATGCTTGCAATTAGAGACCACAGGATTCCTGTGGATTCTATTAGAAAACCATTAAATGCACCTGAAATCAGTCACAGCTCACCTGTGAAACCATTAAGATCCTTTACATCGTGATATTTACCCATCAAGAAAAGCCAAAACACATGAAACCACCAGGAAGCAACAGAAACACTTAATGTTTTCTATTTTTTTAGCAGACAAGAAGTAAAAAAATGTTACTTGAATGTCTTACATTCTTCAAATGTTCATGTTTATGGTAAATCTGCCTTAACCAGTATTAAACCCTGTGTGGGAAAACAAATGTGCAGCACTGTTAGCTTTGATGCTATCACAGTACAGGGAATCGCATTGGGGCACTAGCATTTAACATGCAGTGGTAGTTTGGTGCGCAAAGACTGCTTGTAGGTTTCTGCATTAAACAAAACTGTATTATGATATTTCATTATTATATGATACAAAAATGAAATGAAATGACTGCAAGTTGTTGTCCTCCTTCAGCGATCCACTGTTGCTTGGCAACATTAGCATAGACAGAAACAAACTAGGTGGAAGAATAGTTTATTGCGAGTATTATTGCGTACAGTGATTTTATCACAGGGTTTTATGCCTGAGAACACATCTTACCTATGACTAAATCACCACACCCTCTCATGACTTATTGCTAAATTACATGAGATTTGATTAGACATGAAACTTATAATTAATCACAGATTGTTTGGCTTGTTAAAGGGGGCTGCTGGATGTTCTGATGAACTCATTTCAACTTTTAAACTCGTTTTCTCCATTAGTGACCTGTTTTTATAGTTCCGATACAGACACTTTATGTTATTGTCAGAGATATGAGCAGTATTTCACTTCATTTCCCAGACATTCTGTTTAGGTGATCATCTCAGTTGTTTTGAATCCTCAGACCATTGCTTGAAAAAAGTGCCAAATCTACTGAGGGGGAGGGAAGCTGACTTGGAGTCAAACTCTGCGAAAAGCTGTCCTCCGCTGTGAAATGACGGTAATGGGCCTGTCCTAAAATGGCCATTTTTGCTCCTGCTGAGTTTCACTTGCTGATGAGCTGATGCTTGAAGAGCTGCCTACACAACAGTGAGTGAATCTGTCTTAATGTCTCAGTGAGCAATGCATCTTTGCACTTCTTTCCCGCTAATTGAAGATGGCCGTTTGCAGATTTCTTAGCAGTTCTTCCTGAACGCCTGTCGGGTTAATTACCCTCCCTGTCAGATGGGGTTTTTTTGTGGCTGTGGTGTTGCCATAATCCCCCCTCCCCTTCACTACAGTATACAGACCCCTCTCATTTTAGTGATTAGCCTCAAACTGTGATTCACAGCAACATGGCTGTCTTGTCCCATACACAGATGAAGGGGTGTAGCGCAGCAAGCTAATGATGGCTGTGTAAATCAGTGTAATAGGTATTGTCATGCTACTCATGCTGTTGTGGTTAAAATTACACAGAAATGTTCGGAGACATTATATGCGAGCATTGATTAGTAGCACGTGGTATGTGGTAACACTTGGCAAATGGCAGCGTGCTTATTTAAGCTTAATTAGACCTTACAGTCCAATATCCTGCAACTGAGTGAGTATGTGATTAAGTAATTGCTTAATAACTGCTGTTCACTTTCGGTTTAGCCGATGAGAATGCAGGATGGAGCAGGTTATATTAAAAATAAAGCAGACAAATGTCAGCCAGTTTGGTGACACACAATGTGACCAGGTGTATTATTTCTGCACACACAGCCTACGTGCATGTCAAGCAAATGATGACACTACCCAGTTATATTTATAATGGGGTATATGTGTCTGTGGAAGATAGCTCAGCTAGAGCTGGCACTATGGATTGTATTAGTAATTCATATATATTATATATTAGTTAATGAATAATCTACAGATTATTTTGCCAATTAATTGATTCAAGTTTTTTTTTTTAAAGGCCAGAGTACATAAATGGACTCAAAGAGGAATTCCACCAATTTTCATATATTTTGCTTAATTAAATCATAAAGATTTAAACAAAGTAATACAGAGCGCTTTGATGTGAAATGCTTTGTTATACAGAAATTAGTTGAGCCAGAATTGTTCGCAGTGGGGGGTGATGGGAACAACATGTCTGAAGAGTTTAATGCCTCTAAAAGCTCTCTCACAGAAAGCAATTTCTTGAAATGGTTACAGATACACTGCCTGATGCCTAAGATAATGTTTCATGGAAATTTTGAGAGAATATTTAGGCCAAAAATGTATTTTTAAAATCTATTTATGGCAGAGAGGTACATGCAGGATGTTATAAACAAAGTAGTCCTATAATAAAAACATTTTTCTCCAGATTTACTGGTATTTTACTGTTATTAACATTATATATAAAAACTCTGTAGATACGTGTAGGTTTACTACTATATTTGTGTTGTAGAGATTGTGACCCCTGGTTCCTCCCTACAGTGCACCATTTAACATCAAACCAAAATTGATGGAATTCCTCTTTAATCGAATAATAACAAACCACACATAGCCTCTATGCTGCACCACAAAGCCTCTAAAAAGACCATGTTAAAAACACGATGGTCCTTATTCTTCAAAGTTCAATCAAGTCTGATCATAAAATGTCAGGACCATAATGGGGCTTGTTTTCAGACTGGAAGTTACATGACACAGACCAGCCCATCCTAAACTGTATCTTTATTCTCCTGCTACACACACACACACAACATTGCCTTAAGGTCCTGTCAGCATTTCTTACTGCCCACCTGCTCAGATATGTCCTCATCCTCCTCACTCATCCTCCTTAAGTGGTGTTTTTTGTACCACTTGAGGTGGGGGGGCTGCTGGTTTAACCCCTAAATTACTACAGATATACCATTGGACCCACTCCAGCGTTGCTGACAGTATTGTTATTCTTCAGTTTCACCTTTGGCGTATCTGTACAGTCAAACTCATGTCTGGTTGGAGTGTGTGTAAATTTGAGCATAATAGTTTTACATTGCAAAAAAATCTGGTTTGTGGTTAACTAACCAAAACTATTATTAGGATCATCATTATCACCAATAATAAGAATGAAAATAGAAAATAACAGTAATACTAATTATTTATGGACATCGTATCCAGTACAAAACTGGACAAATTTAAACTATTCCATGTATCCATTAAAGACATATTACACTGTGCTTTTGTTTTATACTCCTAGCATTGCCTTTTTATATATATATATATATATATATATATATATATATATATATATATATATATATATATATGAATCACTTCCAATCCATCAAGAACCTAAATTCTACTCGATGAAGTAATTGAGTTTAATCATTTATTCAAGGCAGCCATGCTAATCATACATTAAGGGATCTTTATATTATTACTCCAAGGTTTATCTTATAAACTGACCTGTTCTCAGCAGCCTGGCCGTGTAGATTAGGATGAAATAAGTATTCTCCAGCATGTGTAAATAAAGCAGGGTTTCCAGATGGCCCACATGGGGGCTCCATCCTCCCTCCTCTCCGCCTCACTACACTACAGACATCCTGCATCTGGCACTGCCACCTACGCCTGCCTGCCTTGTGGGAACACACAATTCTCAAATGTTTCTCTATTCAGACCAGAAGAGAAGAAGAGATATCAAACATGGAGAAAGATAAACACATCATAGATTCTCAGTGTATATAATATACGGCTGAGGGATGTCTATGTCAGAAAACTTATTGTTAGAAATGTTTTGGCGAAAAAAATTCAACTCACATAATTTTCCACCTAGGTTAGATGGATAGTTAGTGGATCAGCCAAGACGTCCTTGGTGTATAAATTTTGCTTTCTTAGTTTAGCACTGGAGCTACAAGGCTATTATTGGTAACAAACACTAGAACTCAATAGTCACCCAAATCATTTCTTAAATACATGCAAATAAAAATTACTTTGAACCTGCTCAAACTGCATCCAGCTCTTCAGTGAGGTCACACAGACTTGTCGGTGTAGTTTAGGACGCATTGTGATTTACTGTGAACAATAAAGATGAACAAAACATCACCATGTAGCTGAACACAGCAGGCAGCCATTTTAGACAACAGGGGTGTTGTGTGGAATGTTTTGTAGGTACATGAATGATTATGTGTATGATTTTTGTTGTTTCTATTTATAAATGACTGTTAATATGAACTTTCAAACTGAAAATATATGAAAATGTTTCCAAATAGAAACAACAGACATCACAAAAGTAATCTAGCATCGATATGCCTGCGTGAGAACAACAACAGAAATAAGTTTGATATCTTTTAATGTACAGTGTTTGTCAGCAACATTAGCTTTGTAGTTCCAGTCCAAAACTAAAGAAGCAAAATTTGGACACCAGACTTGTCTTGGCTGACCAACTAAAATCTGAAAGTGCAAATAAAAAGTGTAAACGAAGTGACCAATACTGCCAGCTTAGCAGCCTTTAGATCATGTCATCAAAGTCTTCATGAAATTGCAGTTGTATCAAAGCTGGTTGTTACATTACATTGAGTTTAACTGTTGTTCTCATTTTGGTTCTTCATAACATTTAAACAGATGTTTTTGCTGCTTCATCAGAGGAATTTCTGCAAATGACAATAAACGAGTGGAACCTTAAAATAGGCTGATTTTTCCAGCCAAACACTATATTAATTGGGCCCTGTTTTTGCCCTGGCTAACATTAACCAAATATAGGGACAGTACACTTTTAGGCTTTGATCGTGGTGGCACAGCAGCCACCAACTAGGACTGAATCCCTGTACTCTTCAGTAACTGACCCTTGCTCTAACCCCTTTTTTCGTTTACAATCTCTCTTCCTGTTTTGTCCACAACAGCACCTGCAGACCACCGTGCAGGCCTTGCAGGCCGAGCTGCGCATCCAGCGGGATCTGAACCAGCTGCTGCAGCCACCCGGTGAGCCTCTGGCATGTGAGCCGGGTGAGGAGCACGAGCGGCAAGCGCGGGAGCTCTTCCTGCTGCGCCGCACACTGGAGGAGATGGAGCTGCGGTTGGAGACCCAGCGGCAGACACTGGCTGCCCGTGATGACTCCGTCAAGAAGCTGCTGGAGATGTTGCACAGCAAAGGACCGTCGACCAAGTCCAGCGAGGAGGACCATGAGCTCACCTGCCGCCTGGCTGACGCAGAGATGCATGCACATCACCTGGAGAACATGCTGGAGCAGCGCGATAAGGAAATAGTGGCTTTGCGTGAGGTCAGTGTCCCATAAATTCCTGTTAGTACTGGATGAATCCACTTGGAAAGCCAAGAGAAGTTCTGGATCTGCAGTTTGATGATGGCCCCGTACATCTTGTGTAATATGCATAATGTGTAATATGTAAAGGGGCATTCAGGCCGAAAACTAGATATTAAGGTTATTTGTTGTGTTCTGCAGTTTTCTGTAGCAGAGCCTCATAACCCTAATCCTCTTTGGTTTGACAGAACTTACAATTTTGCATCGTTTTCATTCATCTCTGTTCTCATACCCAGCATGCATTATGCAAATACATCATAAAACCATTGGAAATCACTGTGGTGTCAACCAATCCTTACTGTTAGCCTAGCCACTGATCTGTTGGATAATAAATACAACCAAGCTAGTATTAGGGTAACTCTTAGCTCAGTTGTAGAACAAAATCTTAAAGAAAACAGCAGTTCTGTCTTTATTCAGCACATAATTGACACCAGAGAGATGTTTTTTAGCCTCTTAGCCAGAGAAAAGAAGCTAAACTGAGATAAACTATTTAGATAGCCAGGTAACTTTTAGTTTGTTGTCCGTTCCAGAAATCTATTTTCCATTGTAATGATGATTTGAAGACAGTTACCATAGTTAAATGTCTGTAATAAGATTCTGGTTTCTGCATTCACAAGCTAATGGAAAAAAAAGAACACTTCAGAACAGCCTATCCTCAAAAATACATCCCAAAGTTTTTAAAGGTTCCTCCCACCTTCAAGATACATCATCAATAGAGAGTTTTGCTAGTCTTTTAACTGGAAGATCTTGCTCTAAAGACTCTCATTCTGTAAGCAAACGTGTTTATAACAGATGTAGTGATGGTTACATTTTTCATTTTGGTCTAAGTGTCCCTTTAAATAAAGACTGGTAACGTTATAGGAAAATAATGAAGAAATAAATGAGGGTAGTAAATAATAATTAACTATTATACTCAGTTCAGATTTTTCCCACGACTTTTGTCTTTTGCTATCAAAAAAATGAAATCAGCTTGCAAATAATCTCTCTTTTTATGGTAAGTATCTAGCTAACAATGCTCCTTTCATAATAATGTTTTAAAAATTTGACTCTATTGTAACTTAAGTAACTAGTTGGCTTGCAAAATCTACCCCTAACCCCTTGGGGGCACAAATCCAAAACCACTGCATGTCCTGAAAGGCTAGCACGCATGTTCACATCCTCATGCCAATGTGTGAAATTTCTGAATGATTATGAACCTAAAAATAGGCTAAAATAAACATAACAAAGCTTAAGATCACATCCTCTTCATATAAAACATATGATCCCTGTTATTCCATGAAACAACAAATAAATGCGCACTAGATTGCAGGGGATATTGTTTGCTCTTACAATGCTTCGTGCTGTTCATGACTCTAGCTGAGCAATAGAGTGCCAAGCCAAATCTGAAGCACAGGCACAGTTTCCCCTGAAGGTTTGATGACACATCTGAAAGCTCTATTTCTGGCTGTGGTGTGAACAAAGTGCCAAGCATGTGCCTCTTATTCCAGGAGCTGCATCGCCACCTTGAAGGGACGCCAGAGTCTACAAAAACCAAAGCTCTGCAAACCGTCATAGAGATGAAGGTACCACAGTATGCCAGGAGCATATGCCTGCTTTACGCAACATTACCTAGAGATGAATCAGTTTGTTCAATTACTGTTTTTTAGATAAGACTTGTTTTAGTTGAATTAAAGGTATCAGAAGGTTGTCAGAAATTTTTGGATTGGTTTGATTGTTCGTAAACTATATATAAACAATATTTACAGTATCACATCCAAACTTATATTTATAGGTTTAGATATGCATTTATTGTCCACTTCAATAGAAACGCCTTGACCACTCGGTTGGATATTTTGGGTGGTGGTCCACTCTCAACTTAACAGTGACACTGACGTGTATACAAACCCAGTAACATGGCTGTGCCTGATACACACATACCAGCACCTCACACACTACCTCACACACTACCATGTCAGTGGTACCCATACCCAGTATGCATTGTGCAAATACATCATATAACCATTGGAAATCCCTGTGGTGTCAACCGGTCATGACCGCTAGTCTAGCCACTGATCTGTAGGCAAAATGGATTCAAGCAGCAATTTTTAGCTTTTCAGGCAGAGAAAAGAATCAAAACTGAGAAATATTTTGATAGCCAGGTAGCTACCCGGCTAACTTTAGCTTTTAGCTTGTTGCCCTCCTCATCTGACAAGTCATTTCTGTTGTTTACGTAATTCATTTCCCATTGTAATGATGATTTGAACACAGTTACCACAGTTAAAACAGCTCTTCTGTGTTTATTCAGCAAAAAATGGACATCAGAAACAAGTATTTAACCTTTCAGTCTAACAAAGTGTAACTTGATGCTGTAACGTTAAGAGGGCGAACAAATAAGACTAATCATGTGTATTATGTATATGATAGTCATCAGCTAAAATTTCATGATTAAGACTGGCCCTGTACAGAAAATGTGATATTAATGTCCATCCTCCAAAGGTGGACATGCAATGAGGCTTTTGTTTGTGTCCACAGGATTCCCAGATCAACTCTCTGGAGCGGGGCCTGAGGGAGCTGGAGGATCAGGTCATGATGCTGCGCTCCAGTAGCATGCTCAGCTGCGAGGAGCGACAAGAGGAGGTCAAGCAAATGGAGGTGTACCGCAACCACACCAAGTTCATGAAGAACAAGGTAGTGCATAGCTCCTGTCTTACAGCTGAAATCTGACAGCAACTCTACATAACATTTCACCTCTGTGCAACATCTGTAGAGAATGTTTGAGTGGTGGGTATGAATTTGAACCTTTCCCTGATTCAGATGGACCAGGTGAAGCAGGATCTGTCCAGGAAGGACACTCAACTCCTCGGCCTGCAGACCAAACTGGAGACCCTGACCAACCAGTTCTCTGATAGCAAGCAGCACATTGAGGTGCTCAAAGAGTCCTTGACTGCCAAAGAGCAGCGTGCTGCCATCTTACAGACCGAGGTAAAAACCTGCTCAAATGCATGTTCAAAAGTCAAGTGTTCCATCAGACAGACAACTTCACAGGCATGTAAAAATGCATTGATGTATCATAATGAATCAGTCTGAAGGAGGCGGTTCAACTGCATCATATTAGGAATGTTAGAATTTATTCGATTTTTTTCCTATTGAGTATTCAGTATAATAAGAATAATCAAATCAAACTTGAGATTTCGTAATGTATTGAATTGTTTCCATAAGAATTGTATTCAGATTGGATCGTTGGAGGTCATAGATTCACACCCCTTTTTACTCACATTGTTTTTTCTCTAACACTTCATTTGAAGGCTACCTACATAGAGACTTCTTAACACACTTATAAGTTTTGAATAAAATACTTGCAAACAGTTTATGCCAATAATCATAAGATGATCTAAGATGCTTTATGAAGTGAGTAATATTGTATTGATATAAGGGACCTTTAACTAAAGTGATGGACATTTGTTCCACTAATAAGCATCATTCCCAAGTAAAGTGAAGCAGAGGCCTTGTTAACAGGTCCATATATCAGTTCTATAGAACTATCAGTTCTATCGAACTTTATACATATTCCCATACAAAACCTCTTAACTAGCACAGCAAAAAGTAGAAAAAGTAGCCTAATGGTAGGAGAGGTGAGCCAACAACCATAAAGTTATTGGTTCAAATCCCAGGACTGGCTGGATGTTCCAAGTTGTGCCCTTGGGCAAGGCACTTAACCCACCACTGCCCCAGACTGGGCATAGTTAGGCAGCAAAATGACAAATTTCCCCATAAGACCAATAAAGTATAGTACGCGTATTACTTTTATTCTTTGGTACTGTTAAGGAGGCTTGTGTGGCTGCAGACATGAAAAACAGGGTTAGTTCATGTTTACAGCCACACATTCAGTGTTATTCAGTGCTCATGCAGGTGTCATTAAGTCCCTGTGCAGGTAACCTTAAAATAAAATGGGACTGTTTTTTTGACTTCTTTGGTTTAATGAACAAATTCACTTCTCAGGTGGATGCGCTGAGGTTGCGTCTTGAGGAGAAGGAGACACTGCTGAACAAAAAGAGCAAGCAGATCCAGGACATGTCCGAGGAGAAAAGCACACTCAACGGAGAGATCCATGACCTCAAGGACATGCTAGACGTCAAAGAGCGCAAAATCAATGTTCTACAAAAAAAGGTTAGGAATTTCAGTGTAGCCTGCGTAATTGCTAAGTCCTTTTTTGCATTTTATGTGAATGGGATTTTGTATGTGGTTCTCCAGATTGAGAACCTCCAGGAGCAGCTGAGGGACAAAGAAAAGCAGATGGGCAGCCTGAGAGAAAGAGTGAAGTCTCTGCAGACAGACACCTCCAACACAGATACAGTCCTCACCACTCTGGAGGACTCACTGGCTGAGAAGGTAAGATCTGCGACCAGAGAGCTGGTCATGAAGCCAGTGCTATTGGGTCGATATCAACAGAAAATGCTGGATCAGATATCGGAGGGGAAAAAGGAATGAACATGATCCAGACCTGTAACCAATCCAGCCTGAAAGAGCTGACACTCACACTGTGTGATGTGACATTGTTATTTGTATATATCTTTCTGGGGGCCTACTTTTAAATGACCATATCTTAAATAAAGTATCAGCCAATACTTAAGGTTTCAGTATTGGTTTAGTAAAGGAAAAGCAGTATCGTTAGGGCTATCACTATCAAGACATTTTAGCTGGTGAGTAATTGTTGTACAAATAATTACAGTGACTGATTTTATTGTCTTTTCTTTGCATTATATACATCTTAAAGTACAAATCGAAAGTGGCCACATTGGCTTATTAGCCGTCTTGCTTCGTTTGTTTACTAGGTAGCTTGTAGTACTGTTCAATTGGTAGACTACACTCACACAAATGTCTCAGTTACACAGAATCAGGTGTATTCAAGCAAAACTTTGTATTTTTTCTTGAGAGTGAAAATATAAGCACACAAAACCTCATTTTGTTAGCATTCCTACTGAAAACTTGAGAATTAACTACAAAGCTAAATAAACAGACATTACTAGCACTGCCTTCTAAACACGTTAGAGCGCCAAGTTAGAATTTAGAAATTCTTTGCTCCATGATGTGTCGCAGTAAAAACACTTACTGCTTCGCTTCAACCCAGCGCACCCACACATTGTTTGTTGCATTTTAATATTATTGTGAAATCTAAAGTGGAAAATGATTGCGGTCAGTTTAAATAATTGCAATCATCTCAAATAATTGTGATTAGGAGATTATATAATAATTGTGACAGGGCTAAGTATTGTACCTCTAGTCTCGTTTGATGCAGAAGTATTTTTGTACACTACACAACCTATAGAAGTTATCTTAAAGAACTGCTTTATAAGACAGCTTTTCACACTAAAACACAAAACAATTAGGTTTGGGATGATATGATATGGGAAAATGTCTGCTCATATTTCATATAGCCGGTATCATTGTGTATCCCTAAATTAGTTCCTGCCTTAAATTAAACAGATGCCAATAATTTTAATTAAATAGTTGTTTACTAGCTGATGCAGTATCCTAAACTCAAGTAAACAGCAGAAACTTGTGCTGTTTTAAAAAATATGAATATTAAACAAGTTATAAAATAAGCCACTTGTCAGTCAGGCCCTTGTACGATGCCCCCTAAATTACAGAAGTCACCAGTAAGCCAGTCCAAACTTCACCTCAGTCTGTCTGCCATCTGTTACAGGAGCGCATCATCGAGCGTCTGAAAGAGCAGCGTGACCGGGAGGAGAGGGAGAGGGCTGAGGAGCTGGACAGCAGCAAGAAGGAGCTAAAAGAGCTGAAGGAGAAAGTGAGCTTACTGCAGGGAGACCTCTCAGAGCGAGAGGTGAGCATTACTTACTATAGACACAGATTAAGCCTAGATAGTCTCAGACTAAAACAGTAATTAGGCAGCCATGAAAATGATTTAAAACTATTTAATTTGGCAGTAAATGTGTTTTTGCCTGTTAAACACTAGATAACATTGGAATAAATACAAGTAAACATGAATACTAGTAATGTAAGTGTTCTGTTTTTAATAATAATTTAGTAATAACGAAAGTCAGGAACCAAATAATGTTGCAGCTGCTCTCCAGTAGCGCTTAATATAATGAGGGATTGGTCACAATGTATTATTTGTTTATTTGTATGTATTCTATTGCTGAACAATTCAGCGTTTAATACCTGTGTATTAGCTTTAAATATCATTTACTTAGAAGAAACGTCTACTGTTTTGTTTGCTCAGTCAGGATGGAAAATCCTTAAATTACTGGTGAAACTGTTTTGTGGTACCTCATACATTTTGAGGAGATTGCACATGCAGTGACACTGTAAGGAAAGCAGTCATGCTATTACAAATAGACTGAGTGCAGTTGTGGCATGTACCTGCCAAGGCATGCTGACATGCAGATATCAGAAATGATGGAACAGCCGAGCTTGTCCAAACAGATTAGCCATGATGGCTAACGTAAAGTGTCATGCTTCTTGAATGCACATTTGATTGGCATTTGAGATGAAGGGGCAAATCTACTAATGTTCCGCACTGTCACACACCCTGTTTCGGTGTCAAAAAGCGGCTGTTGTGATTTACTATATTGGTGCGAAAGCCCTTTAGTGACCGTAATAAGATCAAAGAGCAGTTGCTGCCGTTTTGTGCTTTTGCCACATTGCGTGTGTTTAAACACAAGAGTGTTTAGGGAGGCCGATTATTATAATGAACCACCCATAATTATCAAGGCTGATGGAAAATGGAAGCCTGTTTTTTCCAGGTGAAAAAAGGTCGTTTGTTGTTTTTTTCCACTTTTCTGGCAGCAATTTGTCAAATTTTGACCTGCGTTTGACCTCTCATAAATGAGTTATTATTTTGATACGATAAGTCATTATTTTGAAATGAAAAGGCAAACTTTCTACATAATAACTAATACAGACAAATTGTTGCCAGAAACAGAGAGCAAAGAAAATTATGAACATTTTTTTAAGGACATGAAAAGAAAAGGGGTTTATTGTGCTGATCATATGTTAATTATATATGTAATATTTGTAGAAAAGTTCTTAGTAGATGATTGGCTCTCCCCGCCGGTGCAAATTGTCTGTACACGTTGCCTTGTTTAGTAATCTGCCATTATATGACACATTTAATAGAGATTCTCCACTGCAGCTCCTTTTTAGCCTAAGACTAGGCTATATTGGTATTAAAACTTGACTTTGAGTCTCAGTTCAATTTATTTGTGCTATGAATGTTTGCTGTTATTTCAGACTTCTCTGCTGGACCTCAAAGAGCATGCGTCATCCTTAGCCTCGTCTGGGCTAAAGAAAGACTCCAAACTGAAAACCCTGGAGATTGCCCTTGAGCAAAGGAGGGAAGAGTGCTCTAAACTGGAAAACCAGCTGAAGAGGGTGAGAGAGAGATTGATTAGGTGGTTGCTGTTGCAATATGTTTAGCTATAGAGGAATTAGAAGAACATAAGGAAATGTTAAGGAAAGATTCATGAAAGTTATTACAAAGTCATTCAGCGTGGTTTGATGTTCTATAGAAACTTACTGAATTGTTCACAGTGGGGGTGATAGGAACCAGGCATCTGAAGAGTTTAATGTCTCTAAATACTATCTCATTTAAAGTTATTACATGAAATGGTTATGAATATTCTGCCTGATGCCTGAGACATTATTTTATGGTAGTTTTGAAATAAGATTTCAGGCTAAAACATATTTTTTCAGTCTATTCAAGGAGGAAAGGCATATGCAAAACACTAAAATTAATCAAGGCAAAGTAGTCCCCACAGAAAACGTATTTATACATTCAAAATGTATTCATGCATGTGGGTTTGTGTGTAATTGAGTGCTATTAATACCTAACTGACCATTCAGGCCCAAAATGCAGCCGTGGAAGCGCAGGCCAACTCGGAGCTCTCGGAGCGCATTGCCTCGCTGGAGGCTGATGTGGCCAGGCACAGAGAGGAGTCTGGAAAGGCCCAGGCTGAAGTGGATCGCCTGCTAGACATCCTGCGCCAGATGGAGAATGAGAAGAATGATAAGGACAGGAAAATCAATGAGCTCGAGAGGTCAGCTGTCTCAGAGTCTGATTCCATTCAGCTCGTGTTGACATTCATGTTAAATGTCACCGTCAAAACATTTTCATACCTTCGTCTGCTTTAACTATGGTGTGAAAGCGTCATTGTCAGAAACGTTATCTGTCTTTTTCGTTGAATGGTGTTGCTGTTTTGACCAGCCCCCTTGTGAGTTTGGTTGAAAACCACTTTTAAGTTTCTGCTCTCGCTGAGTGGCATTTGAATTTCTGCTTTTGTCTCCCTTCTTTTCACTTTTTCACCTGAAATTCTGCACCTAGTGTGGCTTCCAGGTTAGTAGACACAGTACTTGTACATTTTAACAGCTTGTATTGATTGCACAGGGATAGTATTCCTGCATTGAATTCTACTTACAGATAACATGCTTGTAGAAAGAATAGATCCTGGATTGGGACACTTGACTTTCAAAATGTCTTGTTTTTCGTTGCAAACACGTTTTTGCAATTTAGGTCTAATGCCCCATCATGAGGAAGTGATTATCTGAGTGATTAGTTTTTGTGACATTGTTACAGACATGATAAATAAATAAAGAAATCATGTTATGGTCTTGGTCATCAATGGAGTTATGTTGTAAACCCTGAACTGGGCTGCATTTTCCAAAAGCTTTGCAACAAACCAACCATTATATTGCAGAGAGAACATTCAAAGTGATTCTCTGTCTTGTCCGTATTAATGATTGTTATGCTGTAAAGCTTTCGGAAAGTCCAGAAGTGGTGGGGAAAGCCTGCCGAGCCCCCAGTGTGTGACCGCTTGTACCATTCCTCTAGAAGCTGTTGCCCAGACTGACTCTGCGTTCCTCTTGCAGGCAGATGAAGGAGCAGGGTAAAAAACCCTCTGGAAAGCACAGGGAGCCGGCCAGCAAGGGCCGAAACACCAGCGATGCCCCACAACAGGTAAGGGACAGTACAGGGAACACGGGCAGCAACCTCATAGGCTGAATCAGAAATGGCTCAGAACTTCCAGAATGGATAGACAGATAAACACAGATAGACAGATAGATTTTATTAATCACCAAGAGGTCATTTAGAAAATGCTCATTATATACACATAAATATTCATAATATAAATCAGGATTAAGTACACATAAAAAATGGACACATACAGTTTGGTCCATAAATATTTGGAAATCAACTAAATCTGTCTATTTTAGCTGTCATATTAGAGCTAAAATGAAATAATGAACGTTAGCTCAAAGTGCAGACCTTCAGATTTAATTCAGTAGTGTTTATGTCCAAGTTGGGCAAACAGTGTAGAACTTACAACCATTTTCATATATGGGCTCAAAAGTAATTGGACACGTGGCTGCTCAGCTGTTCCATGGCCAGCAGTGTGTTACTCCCTCATTATTTCATTCATTCTTCTACGCAGACAAAAAACCCTAGAGCTGATTTCAGGTGCGACATTGCATTTGTTGCTGTTAACTCTCAGTATGAAGTCCAAAGAACTGTCAATGCTAGTGAAGCAAGCCACTGTTAGAGTGAGAAATCAAAACAAACCCATCAGTGTGGCTAAATCAGCTAGTTGGTACATTCTTAAAAAGAAAAGAATGGGCGAGCTCAGAAACACCAGAAGGACTGAATGAAAGCGACTGTGGTGGATGACAGAAGAATTCGTCCCCTGGTGAAGAAAACCCCATTCACAACAGTTGGCCTGATCAGGAACACCCTCCAGAGGGTAGGTGTATATGTGTTTGACTTCACCAGAGTAAATGCAGAGGGTTTACCGCAAGATATAAACCACTGGTAAGCCTCAAAAACAGGAAAACCAGATTAGAGATTGTCAAAAAAATCTAAAAAAAAAAAGCCTGTACAGTTCTGGAATAACATCTTGGAAACACGGGTCAAAGATCAACTTGTCTCAGAATGATGGGAAGAGTACAGAGAAAGGAAGGAACTGCACATGATCCAAAGAATGGTGGAGGTAGTGTTATGGCATGAATAACTGCCAGTGAAACTGCTATCCTTGTATTTATTGATGATGTGACTGCTGACAAAAGCAGCAGGATGAATTCTGAAACATGAAGATTCAGCTAGCCAAATGCTTCAAACCTCACTGGACAACACTTTGCAATGCAGATGGACAATGACCTGACGCAAAAGCCACCCAAGACTTTCTTAAGCCAAAGAAGTGGAATGTTCTACAATGGCCATGTCAGTCGCCTGACCCCAGTCCCATCAAGCATTTTACTTACTGAAGGCAAACAATAGATCTGGCAGAGCATCACCAGGGAAGAAACCCAGCATCTGGTGATGTCTATGGGTTGCAGACTTCAGGCAGTAATATATGCTATGATAGACAGCCAAAATAACAATAACTATGTCCAAATATTTATGGACCGAACTGTAATTACACCTGCCCCTATTTACTAGTGATGTAAAATGCTTCAGTATAGCTTTATAGGCTTAATAATATTAGCTTTGTGTTCTCTTTACTTTGCGATCATGACCTGCCAGTCTCAGGAGTCTCTGCGGCAGAAGTCAGAGCGGATTGAGGAGCTGGAGGAGGCCCTGAGAGAGAGCGTGCAGATGACGGCGGAGAGAGAGATGGTGCTGGCACAGGAGGAGGCAGCACGCACCCACCATGAGAAACAGGTGAGTGTTAGTCAGGTACACAAAATATAGAATCCGCATCAACTAAACACACGTCTATCACTGACCATTATCACTTTATGATTCGGTTTTGCTGACCTTATGAAAGCAATATACTCTGAAAACAGGTTTCATATGAAGTAATGGGTTTTGATCACTGGTTAGTTTGTGATGCACAGACACTATACCCTTGCTGCATAGTGCTGCCTTTACCATAGCGGCTATCCCACAGTGATCTGGTTTTATTTTCATTATATATGTTATCACAAGAACACGTTATTAAAGAACTTGGAGTCAGTTTTCATAGTTATGCAGATGACACACGATTGTATCTATCTGTAGAGCCAAATGATGAGGTCTGTCTTAAATAAGCCTGTCTTTCAAACCATCACTATGTGGAAGAACAGAGTTTTTTTTTTCAAACTAAATAAAGAAAAAGAGATCATTACTGGAAATGAATGACAGAAAACAAACATTATAACTAGGCTGGGCAATCTGGCTTTACAAACAAAAGATAAAGTTGGGGATTTGAGTGTAATGTTTGATTCAACATTTAAATCATATGTTGAGCGCATTACCAAAACAGCCCTTTCACATTTAAGAAACGTCAGGCTTTTACTCACACTGCATGATGCTGAGGAACTGACCCGTGCTTTTGTCTTTTCACACCAAGACTACTGCAACGCACTATTTATAGGATTACCACAAACCACAGTAGACCACCTGCAGCTTGTTCAGAATGCTGCAGCTGGAGTACTAACACGTACAAGAAGGTTTCACATCATATTTTAAGATCATCGTCACCTGCTAAATATCCCAAAAATGAAGTACAAAAAGTCTGGTGAAGCAGCTTTCTGACACTGTGCACCAAAGCTCTGGAGCACCTTACCAATAGATATTTATCAGAAACAGAACATTAACATTTTTAAAAGCAGCTAAAAAAGCAGACATGTTATTAGTAAAGGCTACTTCATCTTAGATATGCTATTTTTTTGTATAACCTTATCTGTTTTGTTCATTTTTACAAAATACTTTTTTTCCTATTTTCAAATTAATTTTGTTTGTTTTTATTCTCATTTTTAGTTGTTACTTTTGTTCTTTTTTGTTTTTACTGTTTTACTGTTGTGAAGCAGTTTGAGCTTTTTTTTTACATACTTTATGTATGTATTTGCTATATAAATAAAGTTATTATTATTACACCACAGTGACTGTTCTTTAGTGACTATAGTGATTATACCACAGTGACTATACCATAATGACTGTTCCATAGTGACTGTACCTTTTTATTTAGTATTAGTGTATACTGTACTGGAGCGTATATACTATAGCGACTGTACAGTAGTGACTGTGCTGTAGCAACTGTGCCACAGCAGCTATATTACAGCTAGCTGTACCATAGCGACTGTACCAGGGGTGCATAACCGTTTTGTCTTAGAGTCCAAACTGCAATGTTTTTGGTGGCCAAGGGTCAAAAAGACAAAATAATATATTATAAAATAGACAGGAATGTTCAAATCTTTTGACAATATGCTGTATATTTGTTACTAAAAATACTTCAGAAGTACATTTTTCAAAATTAAGGTTATATATAGAATAAAAATTACGTTCTCTCATTTGAGTTAGGGGGCGGGCCAAATCAAAGGTCCCTTACTTTGGATAGCCCTGGACTACACCATTGCTAGCTATACCACAATGATTATACCATAGCTAGCTATATTATTAAAAACTGTCCCCAAGCTAGCTATATCATAATAACTGTATCATAGATAGCTGTATCATAAGAACTGTACCATAGCAACTGTGCCATAGTGAGTGTATCATGAGGTAACTATACCATAGCGACTGTACTGTAATGACGATACCATAGACAGTCGTCTTACTGATGCCCTTGACTTAAACAGATGGAGGAGCTGCTTGGAGCGATGGAGAAAGTGAAGCAGGAGCTCGAGTCCATGAAGGCTAAGATGTCATCCACGCAGCAGTCTCTGGCCGAGAAGGAGGCCCATCTGACCACGCTGAGGGCCGAGAGGAGGAGGCACCTGGAGGAGGTGCTGGAGATGAAGTAAGTTACACTGTGTTCTCTCTGGAGCGTGACACATTGCTGTTGTTGTTGTTTGTGAGAGGTTTGTTGGCCCTCAAGGTTTTCTCAGAACAGGGAGTTAAAGGGTATTTGGTTGAGCCTTTGCAAAATGAGTCAAGCTGCTCTTTAAAATCATTTAACAACAACAATGGTGAAGCTGATGCAAAACAGTCACGCTTGTAAAAGGGAAAGTAAGAGACTCAAATATATCGCACATAGTCCTCCACCATCACACGGGTCAACATGTGACATAAAGCCGACAATTAAAAGCAGACAGGGTCGTAAACGCATAAGGTTTACAAACAGCCAGCTGAGACGGAGCCACATTCACAGAGCATTAGATAATGAATTTGACTCACATACAAACAAACCTTAAGATCAAAACAAATGGCCCTTCATTCCTTTCTACATAGTCAAATAATTAGAAACTCGTTAAACTCGCAGAGTTGCAGTATTCCACTCCATGTCTATATACGACTGAAATAAATAATCTCCGTTCACATTTTATTTCAGTTTGTTTGTATAGTTTATGTCATGCTGTCCGTTATGCTAATTACTTTTCTTTATTTGTCTATTTATACACTGAAAAAAGTGGTGCAATCAATGTACTTAATTTTAATGTGTACATTATTTCCACATGGACAAAACATATTACATCAACTCATATTGAAGAAAACTGAAATACAAAATTATATCAAATTAACAAATAAAACATGTACTGTTACTGTGCAAAAGTCAGAGATCACCCTTCATTTTTTTCAGTAAAATGGGTATTAAGTATAAACATTTCATTTTTCAGGAGATATTTCTGAGAAGATCAGATATGAAATAATCCACTTGCATAAGGAAGTAGGTCAAACGAAAATGTGTGACAAAACAAGAGTTTCCAAAACTGGAGTTCAAAAAAATTATTAAAAGATACAGAGAAATAGGGACTCCTAATAACTACCTGCAAGACCTGGTAGACACCAAAACTGACCCCATCAGATAAACAGCACTTAAAGCTTTCATCTTGGAGAGAGAGGAGAAAATGAAAAATATCCCTGCAGATTTCTTACAAAAACTGAAAGCAAAACTCTGGAAAAGAATGGAAGCTGTAATGAAGGCAAAGAGTGGACACACTAAATACTGAAAAATGTAATATTTAGTTATTAAGGCTTCTGTGTAGTTTTCTGTTGTCTGTTATTTGTTTTCTGCCTTTTATGCTGAAAAATGAATAATTTAATGGCCCTTTGACTGGAGATTAAGCAAATGAAGGGTGCTGTCTGACTGCACTGTACTGTATCTGTAGTATATTTTACTCATGTGGAAATGATGTACGCATTTGCATCAAGTAATTTCAAAGTGTCACTTTTTTCAGTGTATAATGTCTTGTGTCTCTCTGTTGTATTTTAGTGTTTGATAGTGAGTATATTGTATTATTTAATTTTCTTCAAGCTGTTTTGGTTGTAAAAAAAGAGGCTCTATAAATAAAACATTATTATTATTATTATTATTAGCATTATTAGTAGTATTATTAATAAATGCCTTAATTGTGGTGTTGTCACCTTGTGTCAAATGTATTATCCAGTACTCCATGTTAATGAAAAACATACAAACATACAAACATTGGTTGCGTACACATGACCTACGGCTTCACTTTGTTCGACTGTTTAGTGAGAGATAATGAAGGCGGAGAATGAGTCACCCCACACATGGCACTCATCCTCTATTTCTGTCTCTCCCCTTTTGCTGTGCTCGTGGGAAACCATCAGCCTCCTGATATTTAGAAATTGGAGTGTAAACATGGTATTAATTGACCATTATGTGCATAAAAAGTTTATATTTCAATAATTCAGTTGGAAAGAGGCCTCCTCCACTGAAAACGAACTCCCACGGATCACCACAGACTCGGCATAGCTGTCAGTGAGGCAGTTTTGAGGACTCTGCTGCAGGGGATTTGTACTGAAGTACCATTTGACTTGCAGCTTTTAAAGACATAGTAATTCTGCCCTATAGACAGGAGGCTCTGCTGGCTGCCATCAGTGAGAAGGATGCTAATATCGCCCTGCTGGAGCTGTCCTCGTCAAAAAAAAAGAAGACGCAAGAGGAAGTGGCCCAGCTGCGAAGGGAGAAGGACCGTCTGGTGCAGCAGCTCAAACAGCAGGTATGCACTGTGTCACAGGGCTCTTGCAGAGAGAGTGGGCCAGTTTGTATGTGGTTATATGAGACGGGTCTTTCATACAGTTTAAGGTCAAGTTGTTTATTTTGGCTGTAATCAGAGGCCGTTCTGTTTCCTGCTGAATACTAAAAGAGGTAATGCATCTGAACCTTGACGTCTTTTAATGGGTTCACTGCTGTCCACCACAAAGAACCCTTGCAGAACCATCTTTTTAAGAGTGTTGCTTAGATATCACTCACTCACATTTAGCAGGCTGACGATTCTCCACAAGGGGCGCTGTTAGTGCTCAAGTAGCTTTTGGTGCTTATATAAAAGTGGTGCTTCATATCAGTGACACTGTAGGCCCGACATGTTAAACAAATCAGACTCATTCTGCCTGTGTGTTATATATAAAACTAATGCACAGGCCTAAATGCACCATTTGCATGGTAAAATGTGCTTTTTTTCCTCATGTATATGCATTTGAGGGAGTGCTGTGCAAAACAGCGTTGGGTTAAAATATTACACATATAGCTGATTATGTATTCTGCTCAATTTAGTAAAGTTTGAGCAACATTATTGACACATTATTAGCAGTAATAATACTGCTATCTCTTCATCACTGAACTCTTATTTTCTCTTAACCTTGTAAATGGCTCCCTTTTATTTTTCACTTTTTAAACTGTCCACCTCATGAATGAGCAAGTAGTGGGCGGGGCTACGTGCAGTCTGTGTGCTGCAGTCTTAGTAAACCGAATGTCAAATTCAGGCACACATTGCAGTCGGCTCAAGGGCATATTTTGCGCTGCTCAAACGTACATCTGGCCCTGTGTGTCCTTGTTATAGATAACAGTGTGTCAGTACAGTGCCTGAAATCACATAATCAAGGTGATTTGAGATTAACTTGCTGTGGTTTAAGTGTGTGATGATGGAAAATGGTATAAATCTGATTTTTTGCTAAACTGTGGCTTTAAACTGGTCATAAGGGCAATGCAATACCAAGCCACACTAGTCTGTATATTAATGCAATTTGTCTGCTTCTGTCCTCCTCCTCCTCCTCCTTTTCTCCTCTCCTCCCCTCTTCCTGCCCGTTCCGCTCCTCCTTCCTCCACACCGTTTTTCCCTCACATCTGCGCCTCCTCTTTTCACCTAGACACAGAACCGGATGAAGCTCATGGCGGGTAATTATGACGATGGCCACCTGAAAACGCCACCTGACCAGACAAACCACAAACCTCCGAAATCTCCCGATCAGGTCACACTCTGGCGCCCCGGCACATGTTCTTCATTTTATCATAATACCACTACCATCAGCTTGTTTTTCTTTAATATTTAATATCGAATACACTTTAATATGGCTGAAAATGAAATGTTGATACATAACAGAGTATTTCACATTCATAGAAGCATTCTCTCAGCAGCAAGCCTTATTAGGGCACCAGACCGCTGATCAGAGCTGGGGTCAGTTTAATTTAACCGCTGCTTATTGCAGGTATTTGGGCTGGAATTTGAATTGGAGGTGGATGTCCGGTTCATAGGCGTGTCCATCTCCAGTTCGGTTCTTTTACCACTGTAACTGAAATGGAACTGACCCCAACTCTAAAGCAGACTCATCTCTTTATGAATCATGACAGCCTTACGAGTCTTATTCTTATTCATGTCAGTAGAAGTTGGCCCTAAGTGCAGATCTAGGAGCTGGTTTATCTTTATTTAGCCTATTATACAACATTCTAGAGGTCAAACTGAGCCTAGGTCTGCACTTCCCTGGTCACTTCTACCTGGATCTTTTCGCATACTAACCGGATCTTTTCTCCCATGCTGCACTTGGCTAAAACCCCCACCATCTTAACCAATAGGATGATGAGGAGGGCATTTGGGCATAGCCACTCTGGCAGCCTTTTTGTTTTAGAAGGGTGAGCACTTGTTTGATGAATGTAAAAAACCAACCTCAGCTGCCCTTTTCCTTTTCCTCCCCATGCTACCCCATCTAAAGCCCACCTCGCTGAAGCCAGTGTGGGATTTCAGGGTTATGTCATAGTGGCGCAAATCACCGGCCCCCACCATCTCCCCCAGAGGACATTACACTTGAGTTAAATTCGTAATTCTTACCAGTTTAGCACTGGATAACATTACATAACAAAACCCCTGTTCACTCCAGGATATCTCAAAGGGCCTTTCGTGGTTTTGAAATAAACATTGTGCCAATGATTCCCAATTACATCTCAGCGCTGCTAAGACATAGCCTCCGTATATCTCATCGCCCTTTGTTTTGTTTTGACAGTCTATTATTTTTGTGGTGCGGTAATGCTTTGGATCTGCATGGACCATTCGCTTGCCATTTTCCTCCCTTTCATTCACTCCACATCAAAACAAATTTGTCTCACTCCTGTTAATTAAGTGTGCAGTTTATATTAGTCCCGAAGTAACTTTGTAAACCTGAAGTCCTAAAATGGTATTGTAGTAATGTTGGTGGTAAAGAGTGCACAAAGTGTGGCTGGTATAATTAAGGGAGCTCTCATTATTTCTGTACAAAAGCTTTGAAATAAGAAGGAACATGGCATTTAAATCTCTTGGAGGCATTAGTACATATTATGTTTGCCTGAGGTTTGCACTAAATATTCAGCCAGATATGAAAGGCTCAGTTTTTATTGCAGTTTACAATAAAATGCCTTAATCCAAATGAACCAAAATATGTTATATCATGAGTATGAATGTCTCAGAATCATGAAAAACAATACATCTAAAAGCACAATCTGCTCTTGGATTCAGTGGATTTGGTTGCTTTTATCACCACAAGTGTGCCTCAAGTGATTTGTGTCATGTTTCTACAGTCCAAAAGCAAGTGTCTGCATGTTGAAATGTATGCTAACATGTTTTGCCTCTTCAATAAGCACCTTGAATGATCTGTAGTGATGTCTATCTAGAACTGATACCGTCTGTTCTTAAAGTTCTTAATACTCTCATAACCAGTTTATTTGGATTACGTTGATGCATGACTCTGATTTGAATGTTTAGCTGTGATAATTGTGGCTGTCTGTTCTCTGTGATTGTCCAGTGTGTGTGAATAATACTCTGTGTGGTGTGTAGATGAAACCTGGGCGGAGAGCTGCAGTGCACAGGAGCTCCACATTAGCCAACTGATCATACCGTACAACCAGAGAGGACCCAACCCACCTCCCATCTGTTTCTGTAGAACCAACCCTGCCCACATATCACCACACCAAGGACCAAGGACCCTCAGATGGTAACACGCCACTTAAAAATTGTCCAAGAGTAATAAATGCCATTTGTTTGGTTGTGTTTAGTGACTAGAATGTAGACTTAATCACTCACTTTATATATGTCAGCTTAAAGGGCCCGTATTCTACATTTTTATTGTATTTTTCTTGTATTTCTTACACAACAGTAACTCTACAGACTGTAGTAACGGCACTACGTATCACATTTCAATGGGAATGGGTAGGCTAAACTACTGTAGGCTGAATGGGTGGATATATAAATGTATTCATGGTTGTGATATCACAGCTGTGATGAATTCAAATAATCATGCTTTTGCAGTTTAGTTTTTATTAGAGATGCGAATTTTGACAAATTCTTTTGACTGATAACCAACCGTTATAAGATGGTGTAACGGGACAGAACCAGCCAGACACCGGCGGTAAAAACAAGAAGTGAGGCTTTACTTGAAAAGAGTTTGACAATACTCGTAGGCAGTAGACAGGCAGTGGTCAAATCCAAAAAGGACAAAATACGATGAACGACAAACATAAACAATATCAGGCAACCAGATCCAAAAGGGCAAAGACAAAAAGGCAAAGTCAGGAAGTCCAAAAACACGAAGGCAATATAACAGACAGAAGCGCCCAGTAGCTCTACGGAGAGAAGGAATACATCGCAAAGAACCTATACTGAAGCCGGGCTTAAATACTAAGCTAGATCTAGTCTTATGATACACATAACAGGTGAAACAGGTTAGTACTCTGGTGAACTGGAACAGCGTTTGGTAGATTGTGGAGGTTCATCGGTCATGGGCTGCCCCAGAGAGTTCTGGGAAATGGAGTCCTTACGAATGTCAGAGCCGAAGGGATGCATGACAGATGGTGATTACTAGTCAACCAAAAGACCAAATCATGGACATGACCCATGAAAACATCAACCATAGAAATGCATTTGATATAAACGTAACATTCAGCTTTATTAAATGAAAAAACGCAGCTGAATGTAACAGATATGACAGTAACGTAATGTAGCCTCCTGCTTACACTTACCACACGTTATTGGCCTTAATGAACATTGACATGTTAACGAACATGCACGGCCTGACCAAGTTCATATGCATAGTTTAAACAACAGTCGGGAGCTCACACCATTGGACTAACTACATAGGCTAACTGCTGTAGGCTATATCACATTTGTAGGCTTTAACCTAAGACTACACTGAATAGAAGGAACATAGCATTAAAAAAGGAGTCAGTTGTAGCACCTTAGCACTGCGTCGTGAGGCTAAATATCCTAGTTGCTATAGTAGTGTGAACTACATTTAGGATGGTTTAATCTCTGCTGTATCACTTTTTCAGTAGTATTGGTGCTACTGGTTAAAACTAAGTGGAGTTGAGGAGTCCAGTGGCAGAGGTCGAAAGTCGGAATTGTCTCCAGAAGACATAAAGTTGTGCACCACTAAGTAGGGCTACCGGAACAAGTAGCGCTTTTGCATCGTCAAAAAAGGTGCTCAAGTTCAGTGAAAAACCTGCCTATTCAAATATCAATTGTTTATGGGAAATTAAACAGACCTTTGAACCACAAGCATTGACCAAGCATTGGTCAAACATGTATGTATTTGTTGGATAATGGTGAATTGAATTGGAACATCCCTAGTTTTCATAGTGGGGAGTGTCCAAGAGTCCAGTGGCAGGGAGAGTCCGATTGCTAATACACTTTTTTAATACAAGAGTTTTAGTTTATGTCAGTGTGTATGATATCACAAATATTTCATCAATCTATCCATCTCATCTATCTCTTAAAGGTCATAAGCTCATTTACATTCCGAAAACTTAAAACTTGTAGATGTAAGATGAAGATGTAAATCATGTATTTTCTTTGGTATTTTTTCGTTTGGCATAGTTGATATTTACCTGTTTAATTCTTGATGTTGTTTAGTCTGAGCCTGGGTTGGTGAGAGTCAGACTGACGCTGTGACCGTGGCCTGGACTCCTCTTAAGACCAGCAGTGAATGGGCCTGTCCTCCAGGAGCCACCAGCCGTGATCTGACCCTCCTCTCTCCAGCTTCATCACTCTCTCTCTCTGCCCTCTGCTCTCCTCTCCTCTCTGCTCTTATCCTATGATCTAAAGACCACAACGAGCCTAAAATAGTTCTTCTCGTGGTCTTAAAAGCCCCAGTCAAGAGATTTTCTATCAGGAGTTTATTGAGCTAAATTACATGTAAATTGATTGCCTTTGATCTACTCAATCCACAATACCTGTATATACTAAGTTGTTTGAGCTTAAAATCAACTCCTAGATAAATGTTGATGTTCAAAGAAGCAAATCAAAGGTGGCTTTGACTTGATCCACCACTAATACACAACAAGTAGTGTAAAAAGAAGAAAAAAAAATGTTCAAAACAATCTTGTCGGGGCTTTTTCGCTGATGCAGCTGTCAAATTCAGCAGCGTTAGTTGAATTGTGAATGCAATTTTTTCATTTTATACTTTTGATTACTGTGTTACGTCATCACGGTTGATTACAGACGTAGAATGTCCAGCAACCTGATGGGTGGTGCTATGTAAACATTTCCGAGTAATCTGAATGCCAAACCGTTGTATAAAGTAATATGCTAATTTGACAGCTGTATCTGGTGCCAGGCTTGTTCACTCGTTGGAGTTTAGGTAGCTACCTTCTTGCACTTCCTTACTGGTTGTACACTTCTTTTAACAATACTGAACAGAAAACCTTTAGTACACGTCCATAAGCATCATCCAAGTGTTGAAAGAGATCTGTCATCTCACCACGTACGACGTCCGTGGTGCAAAATCAGGTACTGTACATGTCACTTAATTCCAAACGTAACAGCTGCTAAAAATCAATAGACAATATAATGTGTGTGAAACTATTTTGTAGTGCTCATGACGGAGTCGTACAACTCTCGTGAGGTGGCTGTGGGGTTTCAGTTTAAGTGTTATTATTCTCTGTATATGCAGAAGAAGCACAGAGGTCCACTGTAGCAGCTCTTTCAATAAACGTAGGCTCCAAGTATCATCATATCATATCTAGAGGTCTAGTTTATGGGAGCACATTGCTGGTTTTATGTACTCTCATAAACAGAGATGTCATTTTGTCTCTCTCTCTCTCTTGCAGTAAATTTTTTATGTTGCATTTGTGGCCTATTGTCTTTGTGTATTGAAAAAAAAAGATAGTTCTCTCTAAAACAAACAAACAAAAGAAATAAGATAAAAGATGAAAAGACGGGTATGAGCATTCTGACTTTGTATAAATGTGTATGTATATAAATATGTATTATCAGTGTTTTCACTCTCTGTGTTTTTTATTCGTAGTCCTGTTATTGTTTCAAAATGAAAAGTTGGATCAACAAAAAAAAGTCTATAATTTATCACATCTAGGATTTTTTAAGACTAAAAGAAACTTATTTACTCGAGCCAGCTGTTCATACTCTTTGCTAGGCTTTTACATGACCTTTCCTAATCAGTTGTTTTCATATTCCATTTAACTGAAGCTACTACAAAGCGCTCTTTCTGAAAGACACGTCTGTCAGGCTGCAGATGCTTGAGGAGTGTCCGCGGTGACTCACGGCTATTGTAATAATGTGCTCAGTGAAGGGGGAAAGCTCTGGGGTTAATGCAGGTGCTCCATATCAGCAATATACCACTGCTAGTCTAAACACAGCCTTCGCCTCACATTCATAATGTGTGAACCCATTTCAGAATGCTTATCTTGAAATCAAATAGTATTTAATTTCTCAAATAAGCGCTAAATCTAATCATGTTTTCATGGAAAAGAGTGAAATTAATCAAAAATGAAGGGTTTGGTAAGAGTTAGGGTGAGGGCGAGCTCAATATCTGCTTTATGTACTAGTGCGCACCACATACAGGTCATTCTACAGAAGTGGTTAAGAACACCATCCATCCCTAGTAAACATACGTTTAAATATGCATAACTTCAGTTGTAAACATATTTCGCATATGTTGCGTTTAATACTTAGCAACACAACTGAACTATTTTACATAATTAGTTGATAAATGTGTGTTTATATGCTGACCTATATTGAGCATTGCAGTATAGATCAACATATGAATCCCCTGAAATCACATTGAAAAAAAAAAGCATTTTTGCCAAATTTGAGTACATTTTCATCTTACATTTCAGTTTCTAAGTTTACATGTAAATCTTTTAAAAACTGAAAATGTGCTCTTATCAGTTTTAATGTCACTACTGCAAAACAACCTCTCTGAACTGAATAAACCGGTGGCTACACCCCTTAATACAGTCAGATGCAAACATTTGGGCACCCTGGTCAAATAACATGTTTTGTTGATTTTCTAAGTGAAAACAAGTTAACACACCTCCTCAGCCCCCAAACTGGACACTTTAAAAACATACAATATTTTGTTGTGAAACATGTTGAAAAATGTGATTTTTTAAAAAGTGAACATATTTATTATCACCAACATAACAAAACACAAAGCAAACACTAAACTTTTCCTGTGTTTAGTGGATGTACAGTTGCATGAAAAAAATTGCACTCTTGGAACCGCCTGGACTTCTGAATGGCTGCAAAAGATCCTTAACTATTAAATAATTGACATAATAATTTTTATATCATGATAATAAACAAAGAGCTGTTAAGACATAAAGCTTACACACTTTAGATTTCAGATTTTAGATATGATGATGATTTACATTATGATCTCCAAAATGTCAAGGTCATTGATTTAAAAAGTCAGAAAACATTACATAAGCTATATTACATATTTCACAGATTTACATGTAGTATTACACATATTACATACATTTTATACGCTAGCCCAGTGTTGTAGACAGAAAAAATGTTTGTGTTTTAGAAATGACATTTTTAATCTGTTATTCTGATAATAATATGTATGTTCTTTTTCAAAGTCTTGCAGAATTCATGTGCCTGATTTCAATGTCCAGCATACTGACAGTGAAATGCATCTCAACAGCTGCCATATTTGTTTTTGTTTATGACAAGATAACAAAGAAAACATTCTTTTAAATGATCAACTGATACAAAGACACACATAAAAGTGAGTGTGGGGACAGACCTGCTTCAACAGAGCTGGAATACCTGAGAAACAAATGTCCAACATACGTTTGGAATGAGGAGGTTAATCCACAGTTACTGTTTATTTGCTGAATTTAACATATTGGGGGAAAAAAGAAATAAAATATAGCCTGTGCTAAGGTTATGGCACATTTTACATTTTGTGTTTTACTTTCTTTTCCAATATGTTAAACTCAGCAAATAAACAGACACTAAATTGACACTAAATTTGCACTAAAATAAAAAAAAAAAACATATTTAGGTCTGTTCTATGAAGAGGATTTGTTAACTTATTTCCTATTAGGAAATCAACAAAATGTGTAATTTGACTGAGGGTGTTCACACTTTGGGATCAGGAAGAAATATTAAAACGTCTCCTTCATTTTGACCACTCGGTAAGTAGATGCCTTGTAACATTCTGAAATAAAACTGTTTCAAAGTCAAAAAATCCACACAAGTGTCACTACCAAACACCATATTTCTCTTATGAAATATAAGATGTTTGATAAACATGTAATGTGTTTTTCATAACTTATTTTGTCAGAAATTGAATGCTGCTGGTTTCTTGCTATGTACACATTTACAGAAAAGCACAGAATTAGTCTGGATTATCACAAACTAAACAATCACAACCAAAACAAATTTTTGTCTGTAACTGACAAATTTCTTTCATTCAGTTCTCAACTCAGGACTTCTTTTTTTCAAATGTGTCACACAACACAACAATCTAGAACACAGGAAAATGTCATAATCTTCCGCTGAAAAGGCATCCCGGGCATCGGCCCAAGAGTCAACAGACCGTGTAAGAAAAACTGGATCAATATTTATGTGGCTTAGATAAACTGACTTGGTTCTAAATATGTAGTGATTTAAACAGCCCTCAAAAACAGCAAAGACAGGTTCTTTATTGCTCAGTCAACAACGAGAAAAGTTTATTTATTACTGATTTTCTGTGATGTTTCAGCATCGACCAACTTAGACTAAAATCTGAACCTAGTTAAAATTGTGATAATTCATAACTAGATTTTAACATATGCTCAGTAATTTTAGATTATAGTTCACATGCACAAAGGGGAAACATTTTAAAGGGAAAAGAAGATCATTTTCAGCATTTTTCTAACCCCATTTGTAACCTCTTCTGCTGAATGACCCACACAGAGATAAAGAGGAGCAGGTGTTTTATGCATTTCAGCATCTGTTTTCTGTTTTGCAAAATTACTGACCCACACAACTGACCACAGTTTTGTTTTGTAAAACACATCTGACAGGTTTTATTCATGGTTAGTTTGGAAAGTAATTAAGCAGCAATTTATAGTCGTAATTACTATTTTCAAACAGCCTGTCAGTGAAGATCTACAGAACAAAGCAAAGTGACCCCTCATATTGAGTCCTTCCCAACAGCGTTATGCAATACATTCTTCACAGAGCATGTTTCAGCTGAAAATGAATCATGGCTAATAATATTGTCTATCAGTAGTGAATGAGTTATCCTCAGTACTGATTGAAGGCTACCTTCATAGGGATTTATAACTCATCTATAAAGCAATACTTTAGTATTTATTAACAGCTAATGCCATTAATCACAAAATGACAAGGTGTTTTATGAAGTGCATGGTATTATATTGACATAAAGGGCCTTAAACTAAAGTACAGAGATTTATTCTATTATAACACTGTTATGGGGCATAATTTCCAAGTAATGGATCTCATAATGCAGAAGCCCAGTTTAGAGATCCATATATCAGTTCTGTATATTTCTACTTCTGTTAAAGAACAAAAGTACTGTTTCTATTAAAGAGAGCTGCACGGCTGCCGGCATAAAGGCTAACTCTGTTCATGTCTGCAGCCACACAGGCCTCCTTAATAGAACAGACTCATCAAACTAGTATAGCATTACTGTAATAATTCACAGTACATTTACTTTGGATGCTTAAGTACATGTAGAAGCCAGTCACTTTGCACTTGTGTACTCAGACAGGGAACATCTATGTTTACATTTTAAAGGTAATATTTTACTAAGGCTATTTCTACTTTTACTTGAGCACAGGACTTTTTTATGTATATGGTTGTTGACAGAACAAACACTTGTATCTCCAAATTTTTTATAGGATTTGAAACTGCTCCTCTTTACATGGTGTCAAAAATTCTTGATGAACAGACCAACAGAAATGGTCCAAAATGACACAACAAAATAATTACAGTAACCTGCACTGAAAGATTTATCCTTTGCTGTAAAGTTACCGTTTTTTGGAGGTATGAGATTTTGTTCAGATGGCGACACACACACCTTCTTAGCAAAATGGGTTCTTTGACTAGTAACAATAGTGGAACCCTTTTGGTGCTGTATATTATGGTGTTATATATTATGCATTCAGATGGTTCTTGGAGGGTTTATGCCTTTACTAATGAACCCTATATAGATAAATCGCTGTTGTCAGAACAAAACCTCGTATCTCCAAAATAGTAACTTTGTAGGAGAAAGAAAAAACATACTGTACTTTTAATGTAAGTCAATAGAACCAGACTTTTTGTCCAAGTAATTTTAGGCCACTTTCCATTCATAATGAAATTTACACACAATGTAAAAAGCAACAGGTATTTTTAAATTATATAAAAAAACTGAAAAATGAAAAAAATGGAGATACAAGGTTTTCTTCCGACAGCAGCGATATATATGTATATATACATCTTGCGAATAATGTCATAAATACTCAAGTATTGCCTTATACATACATTATTCAGGCATATGTCAGGAAGTCCCTATGTAGCCTTCAAATAAACTGTTACCAAAAAATTCAAATCTCCCCAATTATGTTGTGTTCAAAATTCCTCCTAGGGCACTTGGCATAAAATGAGAACTACTTTGTTGGGTACATTTGAGCATCCAAGCCGTTCCGTTTGCATGCAAGAGTGAAAGGAATCTTAATGAGAATTAGCCAAGGGCTAATGAAGTCAAGCCTTTGCAAGGCAAATAGTTGGACATGATGTTATCTGTTGTTTCTGCAGAGTGGCAATCAAATCCAGATGCCTCTTCATTGTTATTACATTTTGCAAATCCAGTTAAGAAGCAGAATGAAGAGTAGCGTCAGTTTTCCCGCAGTGAAGCTTTCGACTGTGCAAAGCAACAAGTCCTGAGAGGCTGTGTCTGTTCAGGCCCTTCATCAAACAAGGCCTCTACCACGGTCAATATTGGCTGAATATTACTCACTAGTGGGGTAGTAAAGCCC